ATATATATATATATATATATACAACCATTGCCTTTAAATACAAAATGATTATAAAGAAAACCCCATATTTCAAATGATTATACCATTGTCATAAGAAATGGGAGGGGACAAAAATTTCACCAAAGGCAAATTGAAAATTGTAAGTTTTATTCGGGAAAATTTGTAATGGGCTTTTGGTAAAAGTCAATTCCCTAGGCCTAGAACAAATAGCTTTTAATATATAATTGTTTTAAATACAGGATTGTCCTTATAATAATCCTGTATTATGCTAAAGAATTTGCAGATACCACATAGAGATTAAGACATCACTCACTTTAACTATCATGCTTGAATGTTAGTACCAAATACTAATTTGGGGTACAAAATATGTAAGCATCGAACACCATATGACACTTTACTGTCAGTCAACACGGTTTAGTTCACTGAGGATTCTAGCTAGCTATGAGATTTAAAATCTTAAACTACATTGCGCTATTTTCTATATACTCTAAGAATTATAGGGTAACATTAATATTTCCTAAAACTTTTTTTTTATAAATACAGAATTAACGTATTGTAAATTTTTCAACTACGTGCATCTTTTCCAGCCTCATCCGGTTATATGGTTCATTCAACCATCTTATCAACTCTGAGGGCAAACAACAAAAATGTATCATATATTCTTACATTATTAACAATATTAACATAATTAATAATTTTTCAGGAATTTTCAGTTTCTTTTTGCAATGTCTTTTTTTTTTTACGAGATTACTACTGACTACACACATTTCCACAAAGCCTGCAAACGTATATAGTTTTATTTTTACTATCACAGGTCTATGCCAAAGACGATTTTTCAAATATTTCAATTTTATTCTATGTCAGAGGCACAGATTTCTTGCTGCCAATTATTAACTCGGTCAACCGAATTGATTCTTGGACACCAAGGCAACAAATCGACAACAGCGGGTTATCCACAAAACACACGCGACGAATCTCATTGGCTTATCACTGATACATTTTTCTTTACTGTCTGCATGGCTATAACAGTCTTTACATTATATATCTTTTTTTCAATATAATCATCTTTTTGGAACAAAGTTGCTACAGAGTCTGCTAAGTAGAATTTCACTGTAGATAGTGTTAATGATGCCTTCAACGTGATAACGAGGATCTCGTTTTGTAGTATTTCTCCACGTCCGCATCTCTCTGGTTGGAAAGGTTTACTTCAACCACCTAAAAAAATAGAAACGTATACTCTGATTTAAAACTTATGCTAGAAATCGTTAGACATTTCGATATTAACATAGTTAATGTATTCTTGAAGAGTGTTATGAGGTTTTTTTTTTATTTGTCAAGATTTGCTATAGTATGTGAACTTTTACCACATTACTTCAAAATCATTCAGTGAGAAATTACTCAGACGTCATCAGAATTAGAAACGGTTTAAAAACATTTGATAACATGAAGAACAATCGTAACAGATATGCGTGATATGTGGAGCATTTTTAAGAGCACTTCACCAGTCAACCACTAGACGTCACTACCGTTCTCTTACTGATATTGACTAATCCATGCATAAAGAAAATATTGAATAATACATACCTTATGAAAGTGGCAGGCACACTTGCCCTGCAAAAAGTCTTTATAACGGGCCACAGTGATATTGAAAGTGTCGATTACTTCAAAATTATAGTGCTTCGCAAAGTCTGCTAAGCCTAAATTATGATAAACAAGCTTCTGATGTTCCGCCTAAAAAAAAAGGCAAAAACAACAACACGCATTTTATTAAACCAGTAACGTTCTGATACATTGCTTATTGATTGGGTTATAGGGTTCATACAAAAGTAATGTCAGGGAGACAACTCTGTCATGCCTATTGAATTCAATAGTGTTGTATGTCATGTGGAATGTGAGCCTAAAGGTGAACCAGGAAGACAACTTCAAAGAAAGAAGCAAGGTCATACGGAAAATCGTTTTATTTGTCATCAACAATACTATTACTCCAAACGTCATGCGCCTGATGATTCCAGATGAGAATGAACTTGACGAAACTGATCCAAGGTACGCTTCTCTTGTCGTATTACTGAACAAACCAGATGGTACAAACCCTAAGTAGTCTAGGCTGATTATAATTATCAGGTCAAAGTATATCAATATGTGCCTAAAACGTACTAATTTGATTGTTGTACCATTTGAAGCCCGAACTAAAGTACTTGTTACGCCAAGATATTTTTAGTCCTGCTGGGGCCGTCGGTACAAGAGTCACCTTACGCAGAAAACAATTATTACTTGACTCGTTCCAGATGATAAATGTTTAGATGAAAGCCCATAGTGAACTAGCCCAACACACTAACAGGATGAAAGCCCATGGTGAACTAGCCCAATACACTAACAGGATGAAAGCCCATGGTGAAATAGCCCAACACATTAACAGGATGAAAGCCCATGGTGAAATAGCCCAACACACTAACAGGATGAAAGCCCATGTTGAAATAGCCCAACACACTAACAGGATGAAAGCCCATGGTGAAATAGCCCAACACACTAACAGGATGAAAGCCCACGGTGAAATAGCCCAACACACTAACAGGATGAAAACCCATGGTGAAATAGCCCAACACACTAACAGGATGAAAACCCATGGTGAAATAGCCCAACAAAGTAACAGGATGAAAACCCATGGTGAAATCACAGTAACAGGTTGCCTATTAGAATGTTTAGTGCGAAAGAAGCAATGTGGAAAAAGATTGAAGTAGGTGACTTTAGACTTTCGAAAGTTGTATGAAGAATGTTTGCCGTCACTGGCACTGGGATTTTACCAGCTGAAATAGGCGGTATTATATATATATAACAACATCTACCTGTATGAGATGCTGGTCAGAAGTAAATGGGGTGAAATTATTCTTTCTTGTAAAGTGTATTCGTCATGGACTTAGTATAACAGTGATAGTCAGAGTATACAGACACTATCCTAATATTGTCTGAGTCACACAGGCGCAAGAGTTATAAGATGCTGTGCACATATAGCATCGGTAATGTGGATCCTGGAACTCAAATGACACAAGAAATACGGACTCGCAAGATCAGCTTCAACACTTGAAGTTGTTCAGGATGCTGTGATAAACAACGATGACACTTCCAAGTCCGGCATGGCCAGGTGGTTAGGGCGCTTGACTCGCAATCTGAGGGTTGCGGGTTCGAATTCTCGTCCCACTAAACATGCTCGCCCTTTCAGCCGTGGGGGCATTATAATGTGACAGTCAATCCCACTATTAGTTGGTAAAAAAGTAGCCCAAGAATTGGCGGTGGGTGGTGATGACTAGCTGCCTTCCCTCTAGTCTTTCACTACTAAATTAGGGACGACTAGCGCAGATAGCCCTCGTGTAGCTTTGCGCGAAATTCAAACCAAACCAAACAAACCAGACACTTCCGATGAATCGTACAATTACTGAAGGTGAAACATAGTATGCATGGTATTTGAGATGTGGAATTGTTATAGGTGACGTATATTAGGACAAGATTAAAAACGATTTTCCGGTCACTTCCATGGAAAGTTTATGGGATAGTTTAATACCATATTAAATAAAGAGTGGCAAAGTTTTCACCTGTCCTTTGCTATTTTTGAAAGAAAATTATCTAATGAAAATGTTTATATTTTGTTTCGTACCTACGTCCACTAAAGTTTTAATAGGCTAGTATTGTTGTTTTAACTTATCATTGACTAATTTATAAATTAAATGGTAACAGTTTTGTTTTCAAGATTGTCGAGAAATGGCGATTCTAAGAATAGAAAACGAATAATGTGCTTTGAACAGGTTTCTTTTACTTCGAACTAAATTACTTTAGTTAATTTATTTTAAATATACACACAGTATTAGAGCGTTTAAAAAATCTTCTGTTTTTTTATTATATATTTCACAATCTTCCTGTGTTATAGCTTAATTTCGTCAAAAACATTTTTACTGGACTTATTTATTCTAGTATCCGGGTTTTCTGTCGAGGAACGAATTTAAACATTCAAAAACAAGTTAAATATCGAAAACAAAACAAATATATATTTTTTACTCTATAAAGGACTTCACGTGTTCTTTATTATGACTACAGCTTAATTATTTTAAATACCTATGAAAATACTGTACCACAATGATGTAATACTATATCTTACACATTAAATCAACATAAATTATGTAGTAATGATGGAGGTCTTGCACACTGGAACAGAATCCGTTAAAGACAAAGATTATATTCTCTTGTGTACATCATATAATTCACAAAACAACCATTGTCTCAGAGTTAGTTTATTCCACTACCTGTGACGTCATAAATGGGCGTATGTTTTTTATATGGACTAATTACATCAGTTTTTTTTTTGCCAGACGTCTACTTACCATACTTAGGCTATGGATTTCATCCACAGGTTGATGAAACCCTGCTCCTAAAGTCTTCATCACGAGTTTGATTCCTTGCAATCTCTCTCTGTATTACATAAGAAGCCAAGGATAACAATACAGTAACGTTATAAAGACAATTTTTACTTTGATGAATATTTTCTTTTCTAGAACACGAGCAAGACTAATAGATAATTATGTCTTTTCACAAATAATTTTATAAGTTTTGGCTGCATTATTACGTCATGTTGGATTCTTTCATTGGTAAGACTAATCTATAATCACATACATTATTTGAAGAATTGAAAACTGAGACAAGGCGAGACTCGAACCCAAGACTATGCTTTCTTGATCTCAGTTTTCACTCTTCAGAAATGTTTTTATAACTTCGCAGGACGAAGTCTGCTACATTTAAATGTTCTATAGTGTATTCGGACAAAGGCCATTATGTTAAGCAAATTACAAAATGTATATTATATCAGGGAACTGTTACGTTAATGTCATATATGTTTTGTACACAAAAATATGATTAACTGCTTGTTCTTCATCTGAGAAAAAAGAAAGAAAGAATATATAGTTCTTAATCTCTTACCCTCGTAAAGCACGCATTAACATATGCAGGTGTTGAGTGGCTAACCAGTGGACTCCGCCTACAACCAGAACTGTATCAGTGTTGTTCTCTAGCGGACTAGAACTAGAAAAAAATCCTATACTTAGTTGTATTGATTTAACATAATAACAAAATATAAGTTTTAGACTGTTGTAAAAAAATGCAAGTTATTTAACGCATCTGGTAACAAATATTCAATCTAAACTGTATATATATATATATATATATATATATATATATA